CAAGCTACAGGTCCGAGTCAGAAGGTCTGCATAATATAGTATGGACGCCTTAGCATGGCTGAGAGACACAGGCCAGCAAATGTAAATCCAGGTTCTCAATGCAGTGAGGGCTTGCAAGCTTGGGCCTGGAAACACTGAGTCCACTAGCCCACGCTCCACAGACTTAGTGTGCAGTGTAAATCTACCCAAAGGCGCAACCAAATTCTTCTGGATGTTCTGAGAGAGAGTATTCAGTGAAGCCTGAAGGACAGATTGCCAAGTGTCAAAGAGCCAAAATCTGCAGAGATGGAAAAGCTAACCATTCACACTAAGTAATTTTCACATCTATATGTAACTAGCATAACTATACACAATTATTCCAGAAATTCACTTATAAGAAACAACACCAAACTTGGTTTATTTATTACACATATTTTCCTCTCACATCGTGAGGAATGTGTCCATGTGTTCCAGAGTCTCAAAGAAGAGCCACAAATTAATCTGCAGGAATTTAAAGTCCTAGAGTCATTACATGGATCACTGCAATGAAAAAAAAACTTGAGGTACTTTTAGTAAACATGACTTGAAAGTTGTATCTGTGAGGTACAAATAGAAATCTCTCCCCATGCCCTGAGAAATAATATCCTGGGCCTGCAATACAGAGAATAATTCCAAGGTAGACAAACTCCATAATTGTAGGGCTAACTTTTTCCCTTACATCTGGAACCCACAAGTGAGTCACAAACTTGCTGGAGAAATGCAAGTCTTTATTCTAATGGTTGTTAATAGAGTTATGTTCTTCTCACATTTCACAAGAATGTCTTAGCTTTTCACAATAGTCCAACAATGCTGGGCTGTTGATATTTCATGTATTGTGAGTTCTTGCCATCACTTATACCCAAGAGCCTTTCCCCATGTCTACCAAAACAGATTTGAAGTCTTGTGTAAAGGATTGAATAGTTTTGAAGAGCATTAGAAACATTTCTAGTTACTGCATCTTTAACATAGAAATGTAGGGTTGTAAGGGACCTTGAGAAGTGATTAAATGCAGGCCCCTGCACTGTGGTAGGACCAAGTAAAACTAGACCATCCCCTAGCAGCTGTTTGTCCAACCTATTTTTAAAAAACATCCCTTGGAAGCCTATTCCAGAGCTTAATTATCCTTATAGTTAGAAAGTTTTTCCTAATATCAATCTCCCTTGCTGCCGATTAATCCCATCATACGTGTGCTATTGTTTTGCCTAGATCTGTAGATCTCTCATGCTGTTGAAAGTAAAGAGTAATTGTGCAGGAAGCCTTTGCAAAGTCTAGGGGTTCTGTGCTTCAACTATCACATGTCCCTGGAGAAGTCAACAATGTCAACAAGGGTGGAACTCTGGGAAAGAACAACTGATCACAGTCCTCCTTATAACAGCCCTTAACATATTTGAAAACTAATCAGGTCCCACCTCAGTCTTCTTTTCTCAAAACTAAACATGCCCAGTTTTTTTTTAACCTTTCTTCACAAGTCAGGTTTACTAAGCCATTTAATCATTTTTGTTGCTCTCTTCTGGACTCTCCCCAATTTGTCAGCATCTTTCCTAAAGTGAGGCACCCTGAATTGGATACAGTACTCCAGCTCAGGGACCTCACCACTGCTGGGTGAGACAGGTATCTCCCATGTCTTTCTTACAACAATCCTGTTAATACACCCCGAATGACATTTGCCTTCTTTGCCGCTACATCACAATATTGACTCATACTCAATTTGTGATCCACTATAACCCTCAGATCCTTTTCATCAGTTCTACCACCTAGCCAGTTATTCCTCATTTTGCAGTGGTGTATTTGATTTTTGCTTCTTAGGTGAAGTACTTCACACTTGTCTTTACTGATCTTCCATTTTGTTGAATTCAGACCAATTCAACAATTTGTAAAGGTCATTTTGAATTCTAAACCTGTCATCCAAAGTACTTGCAAAAATTTTATAAGCATACTTTCCATTCCATTATCCACGTCATTAATGAAAACACAGAATAGTACTCAACCCAGAACTGACCCCTGTAGGACCCGGCTAGATACACTCTCCCAGTTTGACAGTGAACCACGAATAACTACTCGGAGTATGGTCTTTTAAACAGTTTTGCACCCTCCCCTCTGATAGTAATTTTATCTAGACCATATTTCCCTAATTTGCTTAGGAGAATGTCCATTTGTATGAGAATTCCAAATTTTATCCACTTTTCTGTCCAAATCACTATGCGTGGGGCGCCTTTGTTAATTTTTTGGGGCGAGTGAGAGGTGACAAAAGGGCTTACTCATACTACTGAGAAAGAACGGAACTGCCAAAAACCATGAGTAACATCATCATGCTAGAAGGAAAAATCTGATATCCCACAATTTTGATCACTTATATTCTATCTTACTGAAAAGAGTAAAGTAAATCTCCTCATTCTAAAAGGTCCCATCCCCACTGCAGTCTTAGGTGCATGCTAGTACAGTTGTCTGCCCCCTTTTGGGGTGGTTTCATATTTTGTTTTTACTGATTGTGTCAATCGGACAATGCAGCTCTACAAAATAAAAAGAATGTTGCACTATGGACCCCCCCAAGAATGCCCTCAAGAATGGCAGATAATCATACTAGCACATTGTTATACTTAAACACTGAGCTCTGTGCAGGCGATTCCCTGCTCTCACCTGGAGACCCACCGAAGTCAATAGGTCTCTGCATGGGATCAGGACTCTGCCCACATGGAGCTCAGAGTAGGACAGTGGTTGTAATATAGACAGCTCTTAAATACAGTTAAATGCAGCAGGTGACTACTGTACCCCATATGCATTCAGTGCTCTAAATTCATACACATACACATATTTTAACCTCAATTGACTGGAGGCATGGCATTGCAGCCACCAATCCCTGTGGAGATCATCAATACATCACCATTCAATTGGCTGGAGGCTGCTGTTGGAGTCATGCAAGGGAGATCCAGTTTGCAGTCATAAAAACACTACTAAACCTGTCAGAGTAGGACAACAAGACCAAAAAACACATTGGCATCAAAACATTAAACAATAACCTAACCTCACCTCATCTTTCATCTCCAGTACACTAGAGAGACATAGACTCCCACCTACACAGTACCAACAATGTGGTCCTCGTTTGTCCATTTGTCAAATTTTCTGACAAGCACCATCCTACAATCTGCCCCTCATGCAAGGAAGAAGCTCCCTGTAAAAATCCACAAGGATTATAACAGGATAATAATAACCCAGCACTGAATACCCTGTGGACCCAGGTTACCCAATGTCACCTTTCATAACTTATTTGGTGAAATGTTTTAAGCACAGATTCTCCTAGCCCCCAATACGTTTCAGTCAGACCATTAAATGTTCTTTTCATCTGACTGAGCTCATTGTAAGAAAACATGTATTGGGATCTTACCTTTTCTTTCTGACTCTGGAGTCGTATGTACTCTGTTCTACCTAGACGCATGGTAATTCATTCTCAATTCAAAAAAAATAGACACCTGCTATTAAACAGACACACGCACTCTAATCCAATAGGACAAAAAGCATTTTCCTTCTATTGTGGTGTTGAGATAAGACTAAGAAAGAAAAAATTCTCTAATATAAGCCTAGCATACGGAAAATAAAATGCCTCTCTTACACTCTAGCAACAACCCTCCTCCCGAAAATAAAACAAATTGGCATCCATAGCCTTTCTTGAATAATTCCTTAGCACAGAGCCCTTCCCCAAAGCCAAATGCAATTTCTCTCCTAATGAGTTATTTCCCTCCCCACGTGCTGAAATAGTACGTGACCTCCCATATCAACCGTAAAAGCAGTATCAACCTCTTTTTGTACCAATTTCAATCTAACCTGCTCATCATCCATGACAACCTCTCTATTTTCCAATACCTACCAGATATGTTCAAAGCCATCCAAACCCAATCTGTCTCTACCCATCGTAAGACGACCTACTGGACAGTCATACCAACAGTCTTCTGTCAGGGTGGTTAACTTCCTAACTGTCAGGGTGGTTAAACACTGGAAAAAATTGCCTAGAGAGATGGAGATTCCACAATCATTGGAGATTTTTAAAAGCAGGTTAAAACACCTGTCAGGAATGGTCTAGATAATACTTAGTCCTGCCATGAGTGCAGTGGACTTAACTAGATGACCTCTCGAGGTCCCTTTCAGTCCTATGATTCTAACCATTTCCTATTCCATTTCACACACCACTTTTTAATGGTGATGGTGGCGACATTATTCTCTCCTGTTTGCTAGCTTTCATCCTAATTTTAAATCAAAGGTTTAGATGTCTGGCTCCAATAGCCAAATTTTCAGTCCTAGACATCAATTACTGACCTATTCCTGTAACAAGGGATGCTGGGAAGGGATGCCCATCCCAAACAGTGGGGCTCCCTTTCTTGCTGGCCGTATGGAGATTAGAGGCACAGTAAATACCTGTTATATACTCAGTATGTGAGCCACCACACAGTCATCCAGCAGATAAAACAAAGACATGTTTTGTTGAGTGGGTAACACACTCTTGTAGAGCTGGACAGTGATACAGCAAAGGGTGACTGACTTCTTAACCAGTAGGTCAGATCCCTCTCAGGGAGGGAAATCTATACTTTTATTCTTTTGATCACAGAAGGAAAGGCTGGGAAGACAGCTTCATGGGAGATTATCAGGTATACCATGTAGCCACACCTGTTAGTGGAGATAACAGACAGTTACAGCCAAGGAATTATATAAAAGGCACAAAATTCTAAATCACAGACAAAGGAAATCTAAGTTTCACAGGAACTATGGTGATTTACACCATCTGAGGCTCAGACCCTTATTTGGGAATCACAGAGGATGGAGGGGGAATGTCAGTAACTGGGCCTGAAGATCCTGGAGGGCAATGGCACAGAGCTGGTCATCCAATCTAATCTTCGGATGCCTTGGCAGTCTCCTCTTTCCTCCTTGCCCCAGGCTCTGAATCACAGTTCCCCATGAGTACTGTTGCATAACTCAAGTTCCATCCAACCAACCTGATTTTAGTTGGTGCTTCTTTGAAAGTGGAGGGCCATGGCTTCCAAATTAACCCCTGGCCAATATGGATGGAGTAGTTGGCAAGTCTCTTGATTTCAGTGGAGCTGTGCAGATTTAAACCAGCTGAGGATCTGGCCCTGAATCTAGACAGAACTTGCTCTGTTTCCCATGGCAGTGATCTGTGGAAACAGCAAGTTTTATCTTTTACATACTTTTAAATTCTTACTGCTGGCACAACAGTACTATTGGACAGATAGCTTGAGTCAGCTTTCTGCCACAAGGTATTTGCACTAGTTGACTGACTCAGAGAGCTGCTAAGTATGGCACCTTGCCCACCTTCCTGAGCACTGCACAGCCTGCAGAGGGGCAACACAGCAGTGGGAACTAAAAATGCTGTTTCTAGAAGAGCCCACCTTTGCCACAGTATGCAGAATAATGAGAGTAGACCAGCAGTTTATGTTAGAAATCATACGTTTACTCCCACAATCATACGTTTACTCCCACAAACAAACATTTGCATACTCTTTGTTATTTCCTTCAGTTATTTACATGCAAAGCTTAAGGTTCAGACACTTCATAAAATGTAAAAAAAACCTAATTCATGCAAAGCAATTATATTGGGATCTTACACTGAATTAATTGTGGTGTAAATCAATAAAATGGACTGCCAAACAAAAATTAACCCTTAAACAACAATGCTCATCAGCATCCCACTCCCATTCTTATTCCAACCCCTCCGCCCCCTTCCCACTGGTCCCCTAGATACCAGGACAATCTTGTAGTTCAAATCAAACAGAATATGGCCATTTCATTCATTAAAAATCAGTGTCCATTGCCAGAGAGCAACAAAACAAATATGCAGACCAATGTGATTTCCAGTGGTTTTGGACAGGCACCCAGCACATTATGGGTGCTACCTCAACGTACATAAATAAAAAGAAAATTAATAATGACAGAGATTAAGTTAGACTGATTTAGGAATGTAGGTGGATAACCAAGAGCATAGGATTGTTGTTCAGTAGATGAGCCCTAGACAGAGTCAGGAGACCTTTTTTTTTTTCATTCCCAGCTCTGCCACTGACTTAGCAAGTTACTTCACCTCCGCCTCTGTTTCCCTTTCTGTTTAGAGTGTAAACTCGGTGAGACAGGATCTCGCCCTCCTTAGGTGTTTGTATGGTGCCTAGCACAATGGGCCATGATATCGGTTAGGGTCTTTTGGCTCTACAGAAAAGCAAAAAAGAAATAAAGAGCTACAGGTTGTAGGGCAGGAGTGGGAAAACTATGGCCTGCAGGCTGCAGCCGGCCCGTCAGACCTTTTAATCCGACCCTCCAGATCCCGCCAGGGAGCGGGGTTGGTGGCTTGCCTGGCTCTGCGCAGCTCCCAGAAACAGTGGCATGTCCCTGCTCCAGCTCCTAGGCGTAGAGGTAGCCAGGGGGCTCCGCACGCTGCCCCACCCCCAAGCACCAGCTCCACAGCTCCCATTGGCCGGGAACCGTGACCAGTGGGGGCAGTGCCTGCGGATGTGACAGCGCACGGAGCCGCATAGCCTCGCCGCCAC